AGGTAACCAGATAGTTGAAGATAGAGTTGTTACTCCAGGTTTTATGAGCAATCTTAGTGGGCCTGAGAAAAATGGACCTGGGCTTAATATTGAAGTGCTATTAAGTAAGGCCCATGTCATAGAGTGTAGGAACATATTGGGCCATAGATCATCTGTGGTAAGTGACCCAAAGAATCAACCAACACAGGAGGGTGAAGATCATACTAGTAGTGGGAAGACAGCCCAAGATAGAGTTGAAAAGGTACCTCATTGTGTAGTAAACTGTAAGACTGTAGTGGTAGCTCAAAAAAGAAAGTTAACACAAAAGAGAATGCGAAATATCAAAGGAAGAGAAAAGAAAATTTACAAATTGAGGTTGGATCAATCATGAACTTCAAGAAAGGGGCTATATTTAGGTCGGCAGCTGCAGCAATCTCCTTATCCATGGCAAGCAAATCTAGTAGTGGTCAGCTGCTACTTAATGAGATAGAAACATCTCTACAAATTGGGAAGATACTTGGGATGAATTGTAAAGGTAATGAGGAGGAAGTGCTTAGTAAATTGATGGAGTTGGAAGAAAAAGATAAGGAGGTGCTGGGTCAAAAGGGTAGCAAGGTAGATTAATTGTATTTGCCCTGGTGTCTTGGATTTTAAATTTGTTTTAATGAAGATCTTATAGAAGAAAAATCAAAAAACTTATATCTGAGAGGAAGGTGGATATGGCATTATTTCAAGAAACAAAGAGACCAACTATCACTGAGGATTTTGTTAGATCTTGTTGGCCTGGAGATCAGATGGCATATATGGCTGTGGACTCAGATGGTGCAGCTGGTGGACTACTCTGGATCTGGAATCCACAAGTGTTTCAACTACTAGACTGCTGTAGCAATAGAAATTTAATCATTTTATCAGGTACTCTCTATACAAGTCTAGCCTGTGTTATTGTAGTAGGAAAGGGGTATGGGAAACTTTGAAGAATTTAAAGAAAAGTTTTGTCAACCCTTGGTGTTTGGGGGGTGATTTCAATGAGGTAAGGAAATTATCTGAGAGGGTGGGTTGTTGTCAAAGGAGTAGAGGTATGAATGATTTTAATGAACTAATTGATAATCTGGAAGTGTGTGACATACCAATGTTGGGGAGAAAGTTCACTTGGTATAAATCTCAGGAAGGTGTCAAATGGAGTAGGTTAGATAGGTTCTTACTCAGTCCAGATTGATTACAAAAATTTAACTTTAAACTATGGGGCTTACCAAGAAAGCTTTCAGGTCATTGTCCTATTTTACTAATGGAAGATGAGCGATTGGGGCCTAAAGCCATTTAGGTTTCTAAAAGCCTGGACCCTCAATCCGAATTTTAAAACTTTTGTGCATAAAATGTGGGCTGAATCTCATATAGATGGCTGGGCTAGATTCAAATATTTAAGGAAACTGAAAGCACTTAAAGTAGCATTGAAAAGATGGAACCTTGAAGTTTTTGGTAAGGTGGAATTTAAACTTAAGCAACTAGAGGAGGAATTACATGACTTGGATTTGGCAGCTGAACAAAAGTTACTCACTGATACAGAGAAAAATAGGCGAAGGGAGGTACAGGAAAAGCATGGAAATTGAGTAAAATGGTGGAATGGCTATGGTTGTAAAAGTCTAGAGTTAACTGGGTGTTAAAAGGGGACAGAAATACAAAATTCTTCCATGTTATGGCTTTCTCAAGAAGGAATAGGAATGCATTGTGCTCAATTAAGGTTAATGGGGTTTTGAAAGAAAATCCGGATGAAATAAGAATTAAAGTCCTAAATCACTTCCAGAGACAGTTTGTAGAATCATGATTCAACAAGCCAAGCTTATCTGGTCCTTTTAAATGAATTGGCAGTGAAGAGGTGCAAGTTGCTATGGAAGCTGAGTTCACAAAATCAAAAGTAGTGGCAACAATTAAAAACTGTGATAGAAACAAGGCTCCAGGGCCTGATGTCTTTAATCTTATGATGATCCAAAAGTGCTGGCAGATAATCAAAGGGGATGTGATGCAGTTCATGAGAGAGTTCCATACCAATTCAAAGTTGGTTTTTGGTATTAATAGCTCATTTGTAGCTTTGATTCCAAAGAATGACAACCCTTCTAGTCTCAATGAATTCAGGCCTATTAGTCTCATTGGTTCATTGTACAAAGTGCTCTTCAAAGGTTTATCTAGTAGGATTAAAGTAGTATTATCCAAGATCATTAGTGAGTATCAATCAACTTTCATAGGGGGTAGAAGCATTTTAGATGTTATCCTAGTTGCTAATGAAATAGTTGATGGTTAGAAGAAGAAGCAGAAGCAAGGCCTTGTCTTAAAACTTGATTTTGAGAAAGCACGATTCAATTAATTGGGAGTTCATCTTCTCCATGATATCAAACTTTGGGTTTGGCTCAAAATGGATCAACTGGATGAAGGAGTGTGTTTCAACAGCCAAAGTTTCTATCTTGGTGAATGGATCACCTACAGCTGAGTTTAGTCCCCAAAGGGGTCTAAGACAAGGTGACCCATTATCTCCTTTTCTTCTTAATATAGTGGCTGAGGATCTTAACATACTGCTATATAGAGCTATCCAGTCTGGTTTGATTAAGGGTGCAACAGTTGGTTCAAGTGATCTTATTATTACTCACTTATAGTTCGCTGATGACACAATTCTATTTTGTGAGGCAAAAAGGAAGGAGGTGCTTAATATCAAAAGAATATTGAGGTGTTTTGAAATATTGTCTGGGTTAAAGATCAACTATCATAAGAGTGTAGTGTCTCAAGTTGGAATAAATGAAGAGCTTACTAAAGAATTTGTTGTCATCTTGAACTATTTGCATCATAGGGGGCTACCATTGAAATATTTGGGGATGCCATTGGGTGCTAATACAAGGAGAAGAAGGACTTGGCAACCTGTCCTTGAAAATTTCAAATCAGAGTTAGCTTCTTGGAAGAGAAGGCTCTTATCTTTCGCTGGTAGGTTGACAATGATCAAGTATGTGCTATCATCATTACTAGTTTTCTACTTATCTATGTTTAAAATGCCTGAAGGGATAGCCAAGGAGATTGATAAAATACAGTCTAGATTTCTTTAGGGGGGGTGATGAACTTAGAAGGAAAATTCATTTGGTAAAATGGAAAGAAACCACTCAAAGTAAAAGCAATGGGGGTCTAGGCATTAGATAGGTGAGAATCATGAATAACTGTCTTCTTTTGAAATGGTGGTGGAGATTTGGGTGTGAAACTGGCTCTCTCTGGAAACAAGTGATCTGTAGCAAGTATCCAAAGACTGGGGGGTTTGGTGGTCAGACCATGATGCAAGTTCTAAGTTGTCTATGGTGTGGAGGGATATATTGGGGGTTCCTGATAAATGCCCTGAGCTGCTAGAGTTCTTTAAGGCCAACTCAAAGATCATTATTGGGGATGGGAGGTTCACAAAATTCTGGCTGGATCTGTGGGTTGGCAATGAGTGTTTAAAAAGTACATTTCCTAGATTATTCTTTGTGTCCATTGATAAAGGTGAATCAGTGGCAATGGTAAATAGCAAGAGTAATGAAAATAAGGAGTGGGAGTTGGCCTTCAGAAAAGCTTTGTTTCAGTGGGAATTCGATGAGTTGAGGAGGTTGAAGGAGTTGTTACAAACTGCTCCAGCTCTCAGGAATGGAGTGCTAGATAGTTTGAATTGGGCTGCAGAAAAGTCTGGTGTGTATACTGTTGCTTCTGCATACAAGTGGATTGAATTACTTTATACTCTGCCTGCAAACTTAGGGGATTTCATATGGAAGAATATGGCCCCACCGAAAGTACAATTTTTTGGATGGTTAGCACAGAAAGGGAGGATCAAGACATCTTGCTATTTGCAAAGAATTCGAGTCCTCAATGCTAATTCAGATGTTAACTATATCTTCTGCAAGAATGAAATGGAAACTGTCACTCATGTGTTATTGTGTTGCCCTTTTAGTTGGAGAGTTTGGTCTAATGTTATCAGGTAGTGGGGAGTATCTTGGGTGCAGCCGGGGTTAGTGCCTGGCCTTTTTCAATGGTGCACTGGTTATTAGGGATGCAACTAGGGCGGGCTTAACCCGAGCAAGCCGAACCCTGCCCAATTTTTTTTAGGGCTTGAACAAGATATTTTGAATTCGGTACGGATTTGGGCAAAAATTCAAAAGTCCAAATTAAATTTGGATGGGCTTGGGCAAAGACGTCAAACAACCCGAGCAACCCGAAGCCCGAATTATACATATATAGATATATAAAAATATTAAATATACATATAAATTATTAGCCATTACATGGTATTAAAGTAATTTAGATTATTAAATCATATTGAATATATATTATTATATATACGAATAACATAAAATCTTACTTTTTTTTTATTTTCACTCATAATTGTAAGGACTACTATAGCGACATCTCTCTTACATTATATAAATTATTTGTTTTGGTAGTATTAATGATTTTCTATATAAAAAAAATGTAAATAGAGTCAAATTTTAATAATTTAATAATGTAGCTAAGAAAAAAAAACAAAACAAAACAAACCTGAAATTCATTTACAATTCGGGCAATTCGGGTTTGACTCGGGTCGGGCTTGGGCAAACAACCTCGGGTTACAATTCAGGCCTGGGCAAGTCTCAGCACAACTTGGGCTGGGTTTGGACAACCTCCCAACCCGACCAAACCTGCCCGAGTTGCATCCCTACTGGTTATAGATACAACAAAAGGCTGAAGGTGATTTGGAAGATCATTCCATTGGCGGTGCTATGGTCTATATGGAAGCAAAAGAATGAAAATCTTTTTAAGGGCACACAGGTGGATTTGGAAAAGTTGTGTGAACTTATTAAAATACAGATTGAATTGTGGTTCAGAGCTTATAACCCTTCTTTTTGCTACTCAGTCGATGATATTGTGTTCAATTTGCAAAATGTGAAATTCTACATTATGCATTGATGGGGTTAACCTGAGAGCTGGTATTTGTTGGTTTTGCTAGGGTTTTGATGCTGTGTTGGGTTTTGCTAAGTTTAATCTCATTCGTTCCTCAACCATACTTCTGGTTTTTTGTCTACTTGTTGATGTTTTGCTCTGGCTTGTTGCTGCTCCAGAGTTGCTGTTGTTCTGCTCTGGTTTCTTGCTCTTGTTGTTGTCTTCACTG